GCACCGTGACAAGCACAAGCTTATAACTGGCCAAGCATAATGGGGTTGGAACTGCCTGTGTATAAATCAAACACAAAAGCGGCTTCCCGCTACCCCCGCATTTTGTACCGGCAAAGCTCGGGATTCCCGGCGGGTGCACTGTGTGTGCCCTAGCAGAATTCTATACGCTGATGCGTCACCTTACCCCGGCTATCTGGTCGGTGAACCCGGCCATTCCTGTCGGGTTTCCCGCGCTGCGATAAGAGCCAAAGGACCATTAAACAGAGGTAACATGATCGTACTTTATTGATGCATTGCACAGAATTTGTTATTCACGTGCTCCCTTTCTTTTTTTTTCCGTGTTTTCGTTGATACTCACCTCAAACCGTGGGCTACATTCGATTGTGTGCCCATTATGAGCGGCTCTGTAATTACTTCTACCTCTGCACCGGTCGCGAGCCTTGAAGATGGGAAAAGGACCGAGTTGATCAAGGTTCAGAATGAGGACGAGCTGCGGTTGGCACAGATGGGTAGGTGCTCGGTTCCTTGCAGTTGGGAAATAGTATAATGACCGCGACACAGGCCATAAACAGGAGTTGAATAGACATTTCTCGCTTTGGAGTTTGATCGGACTCGCGGCAAATTGCACAATTTCTTGGACAGGTTGGTTGGATTCCTGTAATTTCTCTGCCCTCGTCTCACATTATTATAGGCCTCGGCTTGGGTTTAATAACCTCGATTAATGCAGGTGGTCCTGGCGCCCGTGAGTTTTCATTCTAAAAAAAAACACAAGGAAGGCAGCCGATGACCAGGCTTTAGTGATATATGGCTTCATCCTCGTTTTCATCCTTCAATCTTTCGTCGGTGCTTCACTGGCAGAATTTGTGTCGGCATACCCCACAGAAGGAGGAATGTATCATTGGATTGCTGCCATTGCTCCCAAGCGGTACAACAGCTTGCTCAGCTTTGCCACTGGGTGGAGCACTGTATTTGGATGTGACTTGGCCCCCAACATCGAGTCTTGGCACGCAGCTGATGAAGCCTAGGGATTTTTACGACTGCATCGACCAATTTGATTTATGCCACAACCTCCATGGCATTGATAGCTCTTTACCACGATGGCCTCGTGGTCCAACCGTGGATGACTTTTGTCGCATATCAGATTCTCAATATCCTGACTGCGGGAATCGTCATGTTTGGGAATCGGTTTATTCCAGCAATCAACAAGTTTTCATGTAAGTCCGCTTTTCTTCCTGTGTGTTTCAATGACTTATGAGTCTCAGTGGTATACCTGCAATTGGCCTGGTTTATTACCATGGTTGTTGTGGCAGCCAAAGCACCACTTCATAATGACAGCAAATTTGTGTTCCGTACCTGGATCAACGAAACCGGCTGGGACAACAATGTCATCTGCTTTATCACTGGATTGGTCAACCCTCTTTACTCACTTGGAGGTCTCGATGGAATCTCGGTGAGTTGCACACATTGCCCAGCCGCCTAGGCGAACACATTAGCTAATCAAACCTTAGCACATCACAGAAGAAATGCCGAATGTAAGTTGAGGTAGACAAGGAACAAAAGGCTTTCCCATTTTACTTATCAATGTCTATAGCCCGGAAGGAATGCTCCTTTGGGTCTAGGTGAGTTGGGTGACAGGGTTGCTTGTATCGAAAATCCGGCTAACCGTATGCGCCAATAGCTATAACCCTATCTATTGCATTCGTGACTGGATTATCATATATGCTCAGCCTCATGTTTTCAGTTCAAAACTATGGCAGTTTGGCTGACACGCACACTGGACTTCCTCTTGCCGAACTCTTTTGGCAGGCAACCTCTACACGAGGTGGAGCATTTGGGCTGGTGTTCATGGTGTGGATTGCTCTTGGACCCTGTGTCATCGGTTCGCAATTGAGTGTGTAGTGCTTGTTTCACCGTTAAACTCCCTTCTGACTTTGATAGGTACCGGGCGAGTGTTCTGGGCCTTTGCCCGCGATGAGGGCCTGCCGCTGTCGAGCATTTGGGCCCGTGTCAACCCTAAGCTGGGCTCGCCGTTTAATGCGCAGCTCTGCGTTACCATGATTGCCGCCCTCCTTGGCTGTATCTATTTGGGCTCGACGACGGCGTTTAATTCAATGATGAGCTCTGCGGTGTGGGTGTTCCACGTACTACAAAGCAGTGCGCAAGAGGTTAAAACTGACATTTATATAGAACTATCAACAATCTCGCCTACCTTGTGCCCATCCTGACAAATGTTATCCTATTCCGTCGAACCATGCGCCGTGGTCCATTCTTCATGGGCCAGACGCTAGGAATGACTGTGAACATCATCTCTGTGGCTTGGCTGGTGTTTGCCATTGTCTTTTTCTCGTTCCCGTATCAGATGCCTGTGACTGGTATGTGCTCATTATCCCTTAGCATTTTGGATAAGCTATATACTAATTATCAAGAAGCATCCAACATGAACTATACCTGTGTTGTTGTAGGTGGATTCTTGATAATTGAGCTTGTTTGGTGGCTCGTTGCTGGAGCGAGGTATTCTGCGACTGTACAGAGAGCCAGAGAGGAAGAGACCAGTGAGACAGTAGTCGTCGGAGACGGAAAATCCAGTGAATAAAAGTGTGGAGGGAGCAAGCGAGTGTGGTTTTCGAAGTCGTCTTCCAATGCATCGCGTCTTTGACAATCACAATTCCTGCATAAAGAACTTCTGTCACCTTTCTTTTATTTCCTTTCAGCCATACGAAACATCTTTAGATTCAACTCCCATCACATTCTTTTCAGATCATATT